GATTTTCGTAGTCTAGTCAAATACTTAATAGAATGTGAATATTTCAAAATTTTCGTAAATACTCGTTGAAGAAAAGTACATATACCTCACTCAAAATGTTAAATGGTATGTGAAACTAACCAAGCGTTTGCCGAATACTTTTTTGAAGTACTTCTCGAAGTATTTGTTGAGATTATCAGGTTTGGGATATTTACAAGTCGCTTTCGGCCATCCAAAACGCCCCGTTGAGTTTGATTTTGACGAGTCTTCTATCTGCTTGGCATTGATCGCAACAATCAGAACCTGAAAACCCGTTACATTTGTAAGTTAAGAAGTACCAGATTTATCACTTACAGTAAAAAGTAGGAAGTAAGGTCTCATTTCCCGGCTACCATTCCGCTCTTTGCTCTTTATAGAGTTCAAAATATTGCATTTCAATAAAAAAATTCGATCACGAAAGCGGTCTATAAAATGTAGTACGTAGTACACCTTCACTTAGTACTTACATACTATCACAATGATGTTTTCGCAAATTCCGTCCACATTGGCTGTAACATGTGACAGTTGAACCGACGTTTAAAACTCAAATGCAGCTTTGCAATTTTCATGCGCCATCTGTAATGAAAAAAAAACGCATCTCTGCGATTTTCGTGCGCCATCTGTTATGGACCAAAGTATGGTCTTATCCTGTGATAAAAGTTGATACTTATTGACATTAAGATTAGTGAGATAACTTGCGCGTAGACTGTTCATCAGAAATGTACCTTTCACAGGGGATGGTCAGGAAAGGCGATTAACTCAAAAAGCTACATGAAATTGGATGCAGCATAGAACGCTGACTTGGAATCTGTCTTCCATAACTGCTAAACGATTTTTGACGAAATTATAAAAGGTTTTCTGCCGGAAAATCGCGCATAAGAATTATGAAAATAAACTATTGCCATTCACCTTACTCTCAGGTATGTTGTATAAAGTAACCTAGCTGCATGCTTCGATCCAGCAAATAGCCGAACACGGCTTTGCACAAGCATATTTGCACTTTCTACGCACAGTTTCTTTGCGGTAAAATGGTTTATGATGGCTTATAGCTTTGTCCACAGAATCGTTCAGCAGATAAGGAAACAGATTCAGATTCGTCATTCACTACTGTATCCAAATGGTATGCAACTTGTCTGGATTAGCCACTTCGACTTTCAACTATTCCCTTATCAAATGGAAGACCATGTTGCAGATTTAGCAGTGCTGTCGTAAAATGTCAACCAGAATAAATTTGAAATAACATTTATCTTGGTCAAAACTACGTGGTAGGAGATTCCATTTTCGCAACAAACAGTTAGGATTAAACAATTCAAATTTCGTGCAGCTTTTTTGCGGTGTCTTCTTATAATACTTTATCTACTGGCTAGTTTCAAGCATTCTACGAACGTAACTATTAGGTCGTTTCATAAGTTCGCGGAGTTTTCATTC